ATCCTCAAGTCCCCTCGAGCCGTCGTCATCGCTGTGGGAGGGATGCTCACTCTTAACTGTTGGCTCAACTTCCTTTCCTTGATGCCCTTCGCTATACAAGCAGCGGGTCACCCTCTCCAGGCGGCCAGCATGTACATGACAGTGTCGGCCGTGTTTAACTTGGGTGTTCGTCTAACGGTGTCCATGCTGTCAGACTTTTCTTGGTTCAGTATGCGGGCCTGTTATATGACCAGCACCGCCGTCATTGTTATTTCCACTATAGGTAAGCGAGTCATCTCATATCCTCTTACGGTATATTACTTAGGTTATACAATCCTTTTCTGGATGGAAGTGTCTGATCTGCTTTGGAAAATTAATTGGCACGATTAATAAGAAACCTTCAGAACATCGCTTATTATAATGATCCAAACCACGAGGTTCTTACTGTGTTTATGATCTCGTTAGGAAAGTAAAAATTACCTTTGTCCCATATTTGGATCACAGATGGGTGATAAAGACTGCATCATCTCTCCCTATTAAACCATCACAAACTACAGAACTCAAATGCAGACGGATTTTGAAAAGTAATCTTGGTAAAAACTATTGACATTCGGATATTTTATCAATGATACACAAAACTAAACAAAACTATACAATAATCAGAACTTTATGTACATATGATAATGTAAAGTGAGAGTGGGTCCTGTAGGAGACAGCACCGCTACCGCACTGATGCTTCACTTACTCGGCACTAAAATATAAGCGACCCATTCTATTTTCGGTCAGAAGGCGACCACTCCACTGACAACTGTTAAACATCACTAAATGAGGAACAAGACGCTAAGCTCTGTTCTAGATTTGTGATGATAATTTCGCTTGAATTTGCATTGAGACTTGGCCTTGACCAGATACGTTTATTTCATCATTAGAGAATAATATTATAATACCAGATTTAGTTTCAAATTACTCTCTTCACAAGATTAAAAATCCCAAAGATACCTGAAGAGGGTTAGGTTAGCGTTAGAGTGGTTAATAATAAGCTGGAATAAGCTGGGGGCTAATATAAGTAATGTTAACTTGAGCCGATGAACTGAACATATAGAGTAGCATTCATTTCGCCTATAAACAAATTGAGTAGCAAGGGATGCAAAGCAATTCTATACCTTGAATCTGAAACAAATTGGTTCGAATATTATAGAAATACGATGAGTTTTCCAAGTAGAAATCATGAGAAAATTCCCTTTAAAAAATACTCCCATGTAAGGATACAAAGTTGTCATGACTGATTTCTGGGATCACACACACAGACAGAATAAATAAAATTTTCGGTGTAAGTATATAAAATGCGTTGCTTGTAGCTTTGACTTTTTTATAACAAAATTGTCTTATGTACTCAGCGTTCAGTGTGGTGGATGACATCAAGTGGCAGATGGTGGCGATGGCCGGATGGGGGTGCGGCGTGGGCGGCTACATGGGCCTCTTCAACTTGATCATGGTTCATTACATGGGCCTCGACAAAATGGCTCCCACCATGGGCGCCACACTCGTGCTCATTGGGTTTGGCTCCATCAGCATCGGACCCATCGTAGGTAAGGTAGTCGGCACTTGATTATGTGATGTGCAAAGGACCGTAACTGTGAGGCGAGTCGTCAAGGTTCACGCAGTGTCCTTGTCAGTGAAGAATATTAATGAGATTACCATAACTAGATACGTTGTTTCAGAGCAGGAGTAACAAAATGTATGTGCTAATTATTTTACATTATTCTTTACACTACGTTAATTTTCATAATGTTTAGACATTATTTTCAAGTTCAACATGTTACTAGAAATTTTCATCACACTTCCCTTTAAAAATTTGTGCTGCACGTTCTTGCACAATCATAGAGCTGTGCAAGGGAGACTATCCTTTACACACTTGTATATTTTACTTCTACATCTAAAGCTTCTGGCTACGTTGTCCATAGTGAAGACCATCCACGAGAAGAGGGTTGTCATCGCCAGTCTTCCTCAAACATTGCTAGCTTGATACGCTGTTCTACTGACACGCTGGTGGAGAGCGGCCTGTGTTGGTGGTATAATTGTTATCAATCTGTTTCCTTAGGCAAATAAGGTTTGTCTACTTTAATTGACTTTGATATGAGGTAAAATTAGGCACACCGAAGAACTACAAATCTTTCAATGACATTCACTTCTTCCGAGATGTTATCACGTTGGTTGGACAATGTGGCGAAAATTTTTGTGGTATCAGGGAAGGGTCACCAAGTTTAAAGGCTTTTTCTTGCCAATGCTTCTCAATTGTGAAACGGTGTCACGGTCAGTTAGGGAGTGGAAGAATGGTAGTGCCATACGCATGGTAGGTCCCATATTACAAACAATGGTGTGTACTGGTATATAAGGGTAATGAGTTCCAGTGCCAAGGGCAACCCATAGATCCTAAATTTTCGCTTTTGTGGCGTATGTAACAGCAAGAACCACGATGTCTAAATCTACTGTCCTCATCTTTATCTTGGAATAACCCCGCCTGGATGCGTGCAAGATCATACGGGTGGCAGCCTTGTTCATGTGGACGATAGATATAGCACGTGCTGATTATGTCCGTACCTTCTTGAGCTTAGATGTCTGCAACATAAGTGATCAGGAAAACCAACACTTCAGCCTTGGTGACGTCGTTTCTCAAGAAGACTGCCAGTTACTTGTAATGGTGGTAGTTAGAGTGAGCTTTCGCCTTCCTGACTCCTTGCTTTCGAGTGTCCCGTTGTAAACTCCGCTCTAACTATAGATCCCAGACAACATGAAGTCTCTTAATGCTTTTAGCTTGTTCTTGTCTGTATGGCTCGGAAATAAGTTTATTATACTCACTAATTGTTTCGCTGTTAAGTGGTGTCAACGTGTTGATAATGGCAGATGATACAAAAATCTTAAGCCTAACAGCTGAAACCAACAAGGGGAAAATGGTTTCCCTGAAATTAGTAAATCCGCCAGAAAGGGCATTCATGGACATGTTAAATGTTACGAAGATATATTTTTATTCCTTGTGACAAAAAGAAATTGTAACCTCTGCTAGATCCTAAAACATTCGCCAAATTGATGCCAGGTTCAATAATAGCGGTGGTACAGGCAGTCACTCACTCAGATTGTCCTTGCGCGTTTTCTCCCCAGGGATGATGCGGGACGTCACTGGCAGCTACGCCGTCAGCATGTGGGTGTTGGCCGGGCTGGCCGCTTGCTGCTTCTTGCTTTGGATCTTCATGCCGGCCGCCGTCCGCTACGACCGTAACAAGTTTCTCAAATCATGTCCGTCCAACCACGCCGTCCAGTGCAACAATGCCAGTTTTAACGGATCACCTGAAGAATCTTTACCCCACCCCACTCCACCTGAAGTATCAACCCTCCATTCCATTTCTGAGAGTTAATTGTTGACCTGTGTACAAAACCTGATGTTAATTTTACATTCAATATTATATTTGTAGAGAATATCGTACACATTTTTGTATTGGTTTAAAAATATTAAAAGTTATTCTCCCTGATTGTGAAGAGACAGGCCGTGTGAGATCACTGAAGGGCACCTACTGTACAATGTTGATGTTGACGTTTGACTGGAAGGGAAGTCATAACCATAGTCTGTAGTGTCTGGGCAGATCATATGAAGACATACTGTCAACAATTGTGAAAGTACAAAAAACAAAGAAAAATGGGACATTACAAAAATTTCAAATGCTCTGAACATTCACTCGGCTCACCACACGATGCCTCCCGATCTTTACTGCTCTACACTAGCCACCTTATCACGCTTCGAGGACTACATTGGAAATAACTTAATACAGTAAGTACAATATTACCAATAATTTATTTGCAATCCTCATTATATATTCAATATGTATGATTGTACTGTAAGAATTTTGTCCTAATAAATTCATATAATATAAATAAGTATTTAAAATATATTCTTAATTTACCGTGTAGAGCCAAGCGCCATCTTGGATTGACCACATTTGTTATTGTATGTTGGCAGCCATGTTGTCCAGAAGTACTCCATTTTATGTTCTCTACAGTGATTTTTAACAATCATAACATTTATTGATTCCCCATTTATCACTCACAATATTAATTAAGGATAAAACCATAATTAACTCCTATGTTTCAAAATAATCCAAGTATGCAGACAACACAGGGAGATCTATGCCTCCACCATACATTATGCTCCGTCACTATCCATTTACTTTCCTCAATAGAACTACTCAAGATATTTCCTGACACATTACCTCCACTTCACTTTCCAGGGAAGACCTTTTACGTCCTCGGTTCAAATTTTTAGTGCAATAGAAGTTTCAGAATCTTCAGGCCACCGATACCACAATATACTATAGATACATTAATGGAGGAACGAGTCTAGCGGAATTGTAGCAAAGATCTTAAACTGTTCACGAAAAATGAGCCGCGATGTTTGATCTGGTCTTTAAAGTCACGCCAAATGAGGATACTCGCCCCAATTAGGCTTAAAACTCAACTGGAAATAAGTTCGTCTCTGGCATAGTTTGCTTGGTTTCACTAAGACGTTTACTGTTATAGCAACCAAACAACACCTAGATTACACAAGTAAAGGTTGGGTTAGATTGTTAGGTTAGTAATAACTATATATACCTGTATCTACCTCATATTTAATAAAAGGACGTGTCTGTTACAACCATAGGTGCAAAACGGATACAGTTAAGGGGCTTGAAGATACATACACACATATATGGGTCTGTTCCAGCGTTAAGGTTTTTGGAAAAAAGTGGTCCATGGTCATTGAGATCAAGTTATTCAAGAGAAAGCAACAAGAAGGTAAACAAAAAGATGTGTTGGGATGTGAGTATTGTGGTCATCACATGTCACCAACCACTTCTCAAATCTCAGGTGTAATCGTGGTAGTTAGTGTAAATCATCGTCAAGATGTATAATCATGCTATGCAATCATCTGATACAGTATTATTTTATCGTTTGGTGACCCTGAGACCGAGAAGGCTGACCAGTCGTATTTTGGTGTGCACTGTGGCTGCTCGGCGTCCTCCCCTCCCTCCCCGAGGACGCTAGGAAACGCTAAGACAAGAAGCTTCTATTTAGAGTTAGTAAAAACACACCAGGGTTGTTCCTTCCACTATATGATGACGTGAGATGAGGGTAATTAGGTACTCCGTATGCTGTAAATGGTTTCAGTGGTAAGATATCAGAAGATGAAAAGGAAATGGGATAAGTTAATGACGTCGGGAAGCGACGGCATGAGTTTGTGGTTTTATAAAGGTGAAGGTGAACTCTTATTGGCATTATTATTATTGATTACTATTATTGATTATTATTATTTATTATTATTATTAAACTAGTAGCAGTACGGTCAGTATAACAAGGCACTTGGTCACTCTTGGGGAGGAGGACGGAATACAATAGGATACACAAAATGCAAGTCCATCAAAAAGTATTGATTCTACTCACAGAACAGAGATAAAACGTTCAAGACGCTCCGAGACCAGCTGCCCATTGGGTTGACAGGACACACACAATACTTTGTCACACTCTTGGTAAATTTAGTTACGGCGAAATTCAGTGATAAACTTGTCCTCCTTGAGACATTACGTACTTAATCTTATCTATATAGGTGGACTGGGGAGCCTCTCTCGATCTATCACTTAACATGAGCATCACTGTGTTTATCTCTGTGGGTGTGTTTGTTGTATAGTGAGGAGTTTTTTGTGTGTCGTGTGTTATATGGGTTATATTGTTGGCAATTCAGATTAGCAAGTGGAATTAGGATACAACACTTCCACCATTTTATAAGGGCCTGTGCCTCTTATAACATCTTTTACTTGAATATTGTAACCTTTGGTAGAGCGACGTGAGAGGTAGGCCCATGGGTATATGTAATTATAGTATCAAGCAATAGGGAAGAAATAACGGTGGACACTGTAGGTGAATAATAGACACAACATACAAATACAATATTTATTCAAACATTAAAATGGATGCAGGAGAAAGTTATATGTACCAAAAGACGAACTCCTGGTACCATGCCTTCAGGCTCAAAATACTCACACCACGACTGGGTGAACATACACAATAACACACAAACTCTTAAAGCACCTTAGCACCATTAAAACCAGGGGCAACTGCCAATACAGCACTCAATCGCCAGGAGTGATACTCAAGTGACCGCCATGGGGTCCCGCCACCACGGGGCACCTTCCAACGAACTCTGAAGATCCCAGTGGAATAACACAACCACACAAATAGCCCTACTGAGCTAGGCACTCATCCACCAATGATGGGGGCTGGTAGTGGTTCGTGGCTTGGTGATCCAGGGTCACCCCGTGGGCCGAGCGTTAGGGTCAGACTGGCCAGCTATGGGGCCCATAGGTAGTACTGGAGCTTCTGACGGTCGGGACTCACGGAGATAACTGATCCTACTGGACCTCAGACATCTCTCCAGACTAGTGGATGCAACATCCACGCTACAGACACGGCCTAGGCTGCGTTAGGGACCTGTGTGGGTGAGGGACGAGGCACTTACTAACGGTGATAACGACATCACGTTACAAAGGGACGTTAAGGATGTAAACATTACTTCACTCAAAGCACATCAACTACGTTACTTTAACATTTGCACAATCAACTATTAATTGGGTCAAATTACTTAAAGAATGGCGAATTACAACAGGGAGTGGAATGACCTACCTGTGTGGGTCAGGGACGAGTCAACTTACTAACAGTTGAAATGCCCGCCACATTCTCACTCAAACTAGGTCGTGGATTCCACCTACTTAACTATTTCGCTGAATTACTTTACTGTACACTGACGTTTGAAACTGAGACTACGAACTCAGTTTCATTGCCTACTATTATCTTCACAAACAATGCTCTGACTGGGCTATCAAAGGCAAGAATTAAATTTATTACAAAAGGTTGGATGGCAGCAGTTCCCAACATACAGGGCCTTGCTACAAACCCGAGGAGCAGATTCAAAAGGTTCCCTTCAGTCAAAGACGACATCTCGATGACGTCATCAAAGAAACAGAAAACTGAGGACGTTTCCATTGGGGGACTCAGATAGTTTTGTGGACGTTTAAGGTAATATGAGTCCTTAGGGTTTTCAGGTTAGCCGTCATTACCATCATGACAGTGTGTTATATGGGTTATGTTGTTGTCAATTCAGATTAGCAAGTGGAATTAGGATACAATAATAGGTGAGTTTATTCATTAGTTTCTACTTTTGTATCATTTGTGTTTATTTGTAGATTATATTAATGTGTTGTTTTATGTTTTACATGGTAGAGGAAGGATATATTTTGTGCATAGACGGCCATAGGTGGATGCAGATAAGGTTAAACTTAACCCTTGCCAGGGTTATCAAGTACCACTCGCCAAACCTTGGTCTCTGTACTACACGACATCTTTGAATAAACTAAAGAACTATATTTTTGTCTTCGTTCATTATGTGGATGCAGGAGTATCGAAGTATTTTTTCTGTGTATATTCTAGTTTTTTCTCTAATGTCTGATACGCTTTTATTTGACATATGTTACTTCCGTTATTTTAGTCTGTTGTGGATGAAGTTTTCAGACGTATATTAATCCACTTGGGGAAAATTAATAGTCACTGAAATGAGCTGGCATCTTAGGGCTCGTTTACACGATCAGTTGCCAAGTATGGTGGTCATGCACGCATTGGATCCGTGGCGAAGCAAGGGGTCAGAGCAGGGTATTAACCACTGTTTAGTGGACGGTGTGTTTACACGGAACTGCCACACCGTCGTTACCGGTCAGTGTGTGGTAGACTGCTGGGCAAGAGGTTCATGGCTCCCAGACAGACGAGTCGGCTATGGACGGCCGCACTGTTGTATGTTTTGGCCGCTGGGATGATACTGAAGAAAAAAACAAACAAGAAAACGGATTGTGTGGGTGAAAAACTGGTTAAGGAACAAATCGAGTGGTACTTATAACCAAATCTTTGCTGAAATGCAGCGTGGGGACACAGGACGTGCAGCGATACATTTGCATAACCCCTGAAATGTACCACACATACTTGGATAAAGTACGTCCACATATTTCCAGGATGGATACAGAAATGAATGACTCTATAAGTGGTAGGGACACACGTAGGTGGCCACGCAACTATTAGGCTCCCACATGTAACTGCCCGGGAAAGGTTGGTGGTTCAGTGTTGCCGTCTACACGATCACTGCCCGAGCACGGCTTCGTTACCATGCTTCTAAAACACGCTTCGAGACTGATCGTGTAAACGAGAACGCTGCTACACAGAGTACTGGGAGTGTCCACATCTTGATCTGCCCAAAGTGTGTCAAACAGCAGTCGACATGTCCTCTTAGAGATGTAGATGATAACTTGCCGTAATGTTTGTCTTATATAATTATCAGTCTTTATATTTACAGTCTGACTCGGTGACATTTGCAAAATGGAAAAAAACGCAACAGGGAAAGTCGTCAGGCACAGTGATGAACACAGTGAACACGAGACACTGTTGAGGTGCACACAAAGACTAAGAACAGAAAATATCAATGAAGTGAATCAAGAAAGACTAGGAAACAAAAATGACGAAACTAACATCAAAAAGTCATGCGAGAAGCTGACTGGTGACCCCTGGGAGGAGGAGAGGTCAGGTCAGGGCAGTGAAGCACCCACCTCTCATTGTTACTGGGCCGTCGCTGTGGGAGCTTGTATCATTATGGTGAGTGGTGGGCGAGGCTTTGTTTTACATCTATAGTCTGGTTAGCTTATAGTATCTTATATGTTTAACACATATAGAGGAGAAACGAGAATTAGGCTTAATTAAAGAGTGTTAATTCCTTGGCATATGACCATTCATGATCAATACGACATTCATCACGTGTAACCCGTCTGAGTTAGTGACAGGATATACGATTAATCGAAAGAGGAAATGAGAACAATTGCCTCCGTACAGTGCTTGGTTTTACTAATAATTCTTCTTATCTTCAGATGATGATCAATATGGTGGGTCCCTGCTTCAGCATCGTCTTCTCCCCCCTCCTGCTGGAGCTGGGCACATCCTCCACCGTTATCGGCTGGATCTTCAACATCCAGACGCTTCTTTGGTTTACCTGTGGATTGTTTCTTGGTCCCCTGGTTGAGGAGTACAGCTGGAGGAAAGTGGCCATGGTGTGGGCTCTCGTGTACTTCTCCTCCATCGTCCTCTCCGCCTTCGCCACCTCTGCCTGGTTCCTCCTATTCTCGTTTTCCATCCTCAGCGGTGAGTCTTAAAGAGGTTAAGATTTTAAGTAACCCATCAAGAGACCCATATCTATTTACAAACAGTTCTGAAACATTCAAAGCTACTTGTTAATGGTGTGTACCCTTATAGGTCATATATAAAGATCAGTTCATAAGCCTTCACCACAGTAATGACAGGCCAATAATCAAGTTAAGAAAGTAAAGTTTCATGCTCCTAATCCTGGAGGAAACAAGCCCTCGTGTTTGGCTGTTGCCGTCAAAAGAAAAACGAGGAAGAGAGGATGCATAGCTGCATAATTAGTAAAAATATATAATAAAATACTTTAAAAGTACATCACTCTTATCTTCCTTATAACTATTCACATGTGCTATGAACATGAACCTCACTCTATACCTTCGTCATTTCGAGGAATTCAAACTTCCTGGCTATGATGCAACACTATCCATACTCTCCTCCATTTTTCATTACTTTTAATTAGGAATATAGCAAACTGTGACTCGGCTGAAGGTGATGGGAAGCCACATTATAAGCCTGGCTCCCCTAACAGAGGCAGACTGAGCATCCCCAACACATCTAACGGTCACTGTTACTATGGAAATTGGCGTCATCGTAACTCCTTCCTTACAACATTTTATAAAGCCTTCCCAGGTAGAATATTCTTTTCTATGGTATAGAAAAGGTACACTCGGAAACCATAATCTCTAGCCCACCTGGGTCGGTACTGGAGGTTAGAACAGTGTCCTTTCTGGACGGGGGCTCACTCTAACTATCACGAGGCAAGACACACACGAACACACACAGTCAACACAGTCATAGTACGGCTGTATAGATGACATTATGTATAAATATTGTATATGGCATTTTATACTCTGCATTATCTTCATTATATATGACACGAAGAAAAAATACCATAGGTTGTAGTTATGAAAGTATGAATGGAAATAAACACTTCCAAACCACCCAGTGACTCCACACAACGTGTGTGTGTGTGTGTGTGTGTGTGTGTGCGTGTGTGTGTGTGCCAGACCACGATGCTTCCCATTATTCGCATAACTATATGAAAAATCGTGTTTAATTTAACTACATATTTTAAAAACCTTAAATTAAATGTGGATCAGTCACTCTTCATTTGACACACTTGTAGTGTAATACTTTGACCATCCCACCTGAGCACATGGAGGCCCACGGTAACTCTCACGGGGCAACATATGCACGAACACACACGTTATGATATGAACCCTTCCAGGCTTCACTATCATTATCATGTTATGTTCAGCGTGCTCTGTATCTTGGTAACTAGTCATAGTATCAATACATGACAGTGTTATTAATATAATATTGTAACCTTTTCCTTACAGTTATTGTTGTAAATCATGGACAGGAAGGATACATAAATTGTAATATCAAGTGTATGGTTCTCTCAAAGCCACCCCAAGTCAGACAACGCGTCACACAAAGTTACACTGTGTGTGTGTGTGTGTGTGTGTGTGTGTGTTTTCTGTAACATTAAGCTTCATCCTTAGTAGGCAAGATGTTTAATACAGAGGTTTCTCCCATTAGTCATTGCGAGCATCGTCCCAGAGCACATTGTTTCCATCAAAACCATGGTTCATCCTTATTTCTCTTCTTCCGTGTAACTGTATCCATATGGCTAAGTGCTTGCTTTTCATTTTTTTATTTACCAAGATAATGTGGATCAGTTACTCGTTATTTAACACATACATGCACTTAGAGCATCAAGATTGTTTTGTCGGCATGACTATTGGTTAATTGAAACCCCAAAAATATTTTTCACATTTATTATGCATAAACATTGTAAACATATATATGTGATTATTGTAGTATATAACATATATTTAATGTCTGGACAGATTCCCAAGAGTTATGCATATTAATGCATAGATTTTGTAAGCATATTTATGCGAAGTGACGTAAAACCACATAGTAAAATACCTGGATAAATTCCTGAGAGTTAGGAAACGAAGTCTATGTGGCCCTAACGAGGTTACACCAGAGAGCTAATTTCCCCGCCACCCCCTACAAGGCACCGTCGTGGGCGGAGATTTAATTCTTGACCACAGGTTAATACCGTGTCCAACCTCCGTCTGCTGCTTTAACTTCATGCAATCTGGTGGGCATGGAATCTACCAGGTTGCTGCAGATGTTCGGCCTCCTCCTTATTCCCTCCCACACATTATGTGTGTGTCTCCTCACTGCCTCCCTCGTTTTCTCCTCAACATCCCATTCAACAACCATATGCGCCCATAGATTTTCTATTGGATTACAATCGGTTCCTTTAGGGGGCCAGTCCAATAGAATAATCTGCGGGTGCGCCTCAAACCAACGCTTGACGGCCTGACTTGTATGTATTGGACTGCGGTCTTGCATCATACTACATATAGGCTGTGGGTCTGGGATGGCATACGAGTTGCTGGGAGGATGGTTAGTAGTCCTGTTGAACTGGCAGGTAGACAAAATGGAAAACTCACAGCCAAACTGTAAGAATACCCATGGACAATGAGACATTAGTAAAATATACTAGGTCATTTTAGCGCGTGCGCACACATTATATACAGACCAATTGGTATTTGCGAGGCTGTTTGGTTATGCTATGTTAACTAGTTTGCTAGGGTGAGGGAAAGTATATATATATATATATATATATATATATATATATATATATATATATATATATATATATATATATAACTCTTCTCAACAAATGCAAGGATGTTGCCCCGTGAGAGTTACCGTGGGCCTCCATGTGCCCAGATGGGATGGTCAAAGTATTACACTATAAGTATGTCAAATGAGGAGTGACTGATCCACATGTAATTTAAGGTTTTTGAAATATGTAGTTAAATTTATCACGATTTTTCATATAGTTACGCGAATGATGGGAAATAAAAGATATAGATGGGGTGTGGTGGAATCATCGTGGTCTGGCCACAAGCGCTGTAAACGACATGTGGATTCACTGGGTGGTTTGGAAGTGTTTATTTCCATTCATAATTTCATAACTACAACCTATGGTAATTTTTTCTTCGTGTTCATATATAATGAAGATAATGCAGAGTATAAAATGCCATATACAATATTTATACATAATATCATCTATACAGACTATGAGTGTGTTGTTCGTGCGTGTGTTGCCTCGTGATAGTTAGAGTGGGCACCCGTCCAGAAAGGACACTGTACTAGTGTACTAACCTCCAGCACCGACCCAGGTGGGCTAGAGAATATGGTTTCCCAGTGTACCATACCAATTTGTATTCAAAAGCTATTTTTATTAGGAATTTAATCATACGTACAGCTGACAACAACATTGCAACAAAAAGGAAAATATGGAAAAATTTAAGATTAATAATGAATCAACATACGTCAGCTGTATAATCTGTTTAGTTACGATAATTTTTATCTGTAAGAGTTTTATAAGCAAGGCTGACCAGGAAAGGCTCAGTGAACTCTCCTTGCTGGGGTACAGTGGCTATAAACGTGCATTATTGGGATAATAAATTTAATTAGTCTTTTTCTTTAGGAGTTAGTTATGGCTTCCTGAACACCCTTTGCTTCCTCATCATCCCGCACTACTTCACGAGGCGGAGAGGCGTGGCCAATGCCTGCATGATGGCTGGTGTCTGCCTGGGGCAGATGCTGGGACCAATTCTTATAGGGTTCCTACAAGAAAAGTTCGGCTTCTTTGGCGCCACACTTGTGTTAGCCGCTATAAACGTTCACTGCTGCGTCGGCGCCTCCCTATTCCGTCCTCTACAGGCTAAAGCAAAGCCCAGCACTAGTATACAAATCGACGATCCAAAGGTACTGTCTTCAGATGTAGACAAAATAGCAAAAAAGAGATCATGTAATATCTCAGACAGTTTTATCGTGCGTGTGTGTCTCAACTCTGTGTCCAACTTGTCCATTCTCAAGTCCCCTCGAGCCGTCATCATCGCTGTGGGAGGGATGCTCACTCTTAACTGTTGGCTCAACTTCTTTTCCTTGATGCCCTTCGCTATACAAGCAGCGGGTCACTCCCTCCAGACAGCCAGCTTGTGCATGACAACAGGGGCCGTGTGCAACTTGATGGCCCGTCTTACTGTGTCCATGCTGTCAGACTGGCCCAGGTTCAACATGCAGGCTTGTTGCACGATCAGCAGCGTTATCCTTGCTGGTTCCATAATAGGTGAGTCGCTTATGTTTTTTCGCAGATGATCACCAGATAGCATGAATGTTATATTTTTTTTAATTCTTTACGATAACTTAAAAAAAAAGCTGACTAAATAATAGGTAAAACTATGTTAACAAAGAAAATAATTATCAAATAAGCCAATAATGTCACTATTAAACAACGAAGCTATACCAATATATAATAAAAGGTTTCCTCACTTAGGTTAAAGAAAGTCTGTTGTTTGTTAATATTCAAGATATACAGTACCTGTCATCCCTCTGAGACACCGGGAGACGTCGAGGTTAGATAGATAGATGGATGGATAGATAGATAGATAGATGAATATTCAATAAAATTGTCATGCATGTTTACATTGATCCAGCACACAATGCAGCAGTCCACGTCACAGTGTTACCAAGAAACAGGTTTCAAACGAGATGTAATAATGTCAGACGCAACTGTAACAAAAATTTACATGTCTGTCTGTTTGCTTCAATACAAACACCTAATATAATCCAAGCGTCCCCCGCCCCTTGCCTTACATGATGACCATACCAGAATAAAAACGCTATTTCTTAATCCAGTTAAAATCCGTTTATTGGGCACCAGAGCAGTCTTTTAAAACTTTGATAAATGCAAGCAAAATTTATACACTATGCAATGCACTGACGGTATTTATGGGAATTCCATGAAAGAAAAGTGGCTGCCAAATTTTTGCCGAGCCAATTATCGAACTCCTCTGCTTTTCAAGATGCCCTATAGCAGAAATCCCTTCAAGAAGTAACCCGTCCAAACGATGAAAAGACTACTGACGGATGACACGACACGACACGACACACCCGACTCCGTAGTATCCTGTAAACTCTTTCGTGGATACATTTCCTTCCCCAGCTCTATCACCACACCACACAACAAAAATATAACTCAATGATTGGTTTTTAAACTTACGTACAAATATCAAATCTGAAGGAACGTAGCTTCAAAGTTGGCGAGTTTTCAAAACATCGCCTTAAATCAGTGTGATTCCCATGCTTCATTTCACAAGTACTGTATGTTAAAAGTACTGTATGTTACAAACTTTAAAGCATAAAAGCAGTGATGCTATTAAAATGATAACTGGAGATAATTTTCCTTCATAAAATACTGGAATTAATTTTTGTAACATTAGTGCCTAGGATATATAGCTTGTTACTTAATCTTCTTTTTCATATTCATGCTAAATATCACCCAGTTGTCATTATTATGTTCCAGCGTTCAGTGTAGTAGAGGACATCAAGTGGCAGATGGTGATCATGGGCGTGTGGGGGTGCGGCGTGGGCGGCTACATGGGCCTCTTCAGCAGTCATGGTCCCTCACTCATGCCTGCTGCTTCCTCCATTTTTTTTCCACTAAAATTATTTTCAAGTTTCCAGAGCAGTCACTGTTATCACAATGAACTGTTCTATAGCTGAAGGCACAGTACTACACTCTGATCATGTTATGGGCGGTCAATAGAGCCATGGACATGCCTAATTAAATTTTATGTATAAATCTTTGCACATGGCTCGGCTCTAGTCCAGTAGAAAGACTATTTCAATCTTAATCGTGAGTAACAGCAAAGATGCTACATCGATTTACACATTCACATCACCAAGACGACTTTGATATCTTATGAACTCACTGCCCGGTTTCTATCGCTCCTTACATGATTATATCCCTACTTCAGGGAATATACAGTACTTCCTTCGATTCTTCAGTGAGAGAGATGGAAGTATCTACAGCTTTACACCAGGTTTACACCATTTAATATGTCCAAAAATATCACATATAGTTAACCAGTGCATTTCATTGTAATGTTTTAAACGGGCTACTATTTTAGTGGTGATATAAAGAACATCACGGTATTTACGAGTCATTAACAGAGTTGGCAGTCACCACTTTTCCCGCATCTTATTTTGTGCTCGCTAGTTTAATGATAAACAACATTAAAAAAAGTGCAGCTAAATGCAGTGGAGGCATTTCAAATATTTTAGAGTTAATACTTTTGGGTCTAGATCTTTATCTCTGCCAGATCCTCATAAGTTCGCCAAGTTGATGCCAGGTTCACTAATAGCGGTGGTACAGGCAGCCACTCACTCACATTGTTCTCCCCAGGCATGATCCGGGACGTCAGTGGCAGCTACGCCGTCAGCATGTGGGTGTTGGCCGGGCTGGCCGCCTGCTGCTCTTTGCTCTGGGTCTTCATGCCGGCCGCCGTCCGCTATGACCACAAGTCCCTCGACACACGTCAGTCCACCCAGATTTGAAATCTCGTGGACCTCTCGTATCAAAAAATACTTCCAACTTTCAATGTCATGGGATCACTATCCACTTGGGCAACTCCACACTCGACGTGCTAAACGCCTCAGATCAGCTTCAATACACTGATCTCAGACTTCGTATATACTGAACCCCTGTCCTAATTGGTGATCTGAATACTAGACACAAAAAATTAGATGACCCCACCACTACCACCAATGGTAGGAGACTTATCTCATTACTAAGCACATCTGAAGATGTTCAATTCATTGGTAATAGTGAACCAACACACGTCTATGGTGGGGCTCTAGACAAGTGTGTTGGCTTTAGTCTATCATACACAACTCATAACTCTGATGTAGATCTTTTGTCTGATCACAAACCAATCCAAGCTAATATACATGTAGCCAATGCCACCCCCCACTGGCAAAAAACTTAACAGACGTAGACTCACAGTTAAGCAAGAACATGAAAACCAGTTCATAGACTTCATCTATGGTACAAAGATTACAAGCCTGGCAATTACCAAAGTCTCCACGGCGATCTTTTAGCTGGGACTTATTGCATTCTTCCCCAATAATGCCTCTACCAAAAAGAGGAGGGAACGTGGTTAGCATAACAGGAATAGACTTAAGTCTATAGCCAGGCCGACTGGTAAGGGTTACAAACACTTCAGAACACCTCAAATGATCAAACTGTTTCAAGCTTCTCTCGCTGTAGTCCGGGAACGCGTGAATGAACTTAGACAAAATGCACGGGAAAAATATATCAACAGCGTAAACCAACACACTCACTCAGCAAAGCCTGAAGGGACATACACACAATCAGAGGTAAAAGCAGTAGACGCGTCTCCCGTTGCAAAAATCGAATGAGGTAATAACAAAGTGGGCTCATATCTCTAGCTATGACATGTTACCAACTAGGACTCGAGAGCTTGATGAGAAGTCTGTATAGTGTTACGAACCCCTCCACCCCGCACTACGAACCACGCCATCTATTGTCCTGATCTACCTACCCACCACCACGAGCAACGCCATCTAGGGACGAGACACGTGTATGACTCGTCTTAGTTACCACTCCGAGGTTTCCCTTCTCCATATCCTGGGTTGCGTCACCTCCTCAAAGTCTTCTTTGTCAGCTCCAATTCGAGGAGAGGCACTTGGCTCTGGGAAGTGACCACAGGATCATCTATCCTCTAAACCTACGTGCAGTGACTACCTACCGTCTTCTACAATACTCAGCCTTACTCGTCAGCCATCTCAGCTCCTCACTTAAGTACTTATATGTTGTATTAACTCCCCCACGTCCACTTGCTTCAAGATTGTTTTATGTTTATTAATATGTATATACTGTTAATGTTTAGGTTAAGTTTGGTTAAGGGTAATTTATAAGCTGAATATTTTGTTAAGGGATTTATGGTACTCTATTATATACAACGAAAACTCGCATCCTTTGTCTACCCTTTTATAGTCCGATTGTCTTTGTTTTTTTTTATTGTTGTTACCTGTTGGGATCTGGGTAGACGTATAACTATATTCTAAATCCCCAACTCGTAACAAATGGCGACCGTGACAGGATACGACCTTAAGTACCATATTCCTTCCTCCCTTGTTACTCAGTGTTAATTATTCCTCCCAGTCACTTCTGTTCACAATTGCTTTACGGTGGTTTAAAGTTTCCTTCATATGTGTGTGCATATATTGGTATTATCGTACAGTAAGAGTGACAGACGTAGGATATTAGGTTCCAAGTGTCATAAGGCTTACCTGTTATTACACGTGGCAGTCGTGTAGTAAGTCTTATCGAGTGTAGGGAAGAATCCGGATCTGTTTAATGCCGTACCCTCACTCCAGAGTAGGTTGTTCCATAGTCACTAGTTTACGGTGAAGTGATATCTTGGGACGCCACGCTCTACCAGGACCCCATAATTATAAAGCCTCAATTATTGTTCTTCTCATTATCTCATTCAGGGTCAATCATACCATTTATCAGGGTTGTTAATCCGGATCTTTATATTAATGCCGTAATACGCCCTACCTCTTTCAAGTATATCAGGGTTGTTAATCCGGATCTTTATATTTATGCCGTAATACGCCCTACCTCTTTCAAGTCTCTTATCCTTATCTAAGGATCTTCTCAGAAGAACAATAATCATAAGTGTAATTTCCCTAGGTATAACTTGGTTAGTTTTCGGGACTTTCTGGTTATCCACTGCCGTGATATTTTCTAGGGTTATCCACTTAGCTTATCTTTGGACCATTAGTTAAGTTATCCTATTTTTCTTAACAATGGCCACCTCAGGTTTTGATCTCCAGGATTTTATTGAAAATCCTTCCGTAGCTAAATTACGTGTTAATATCCTGAAGAAAGAATGGAAAGAAATAGCCAACTATTACAATATCCCATTTTCACAGCAACTGACTAAGGAAATGTTAAAAAATCATGTGATTGAAGTGTTGGTTCAACAAGAAGTTTTAAAAGAATCCGCTGTTGACAGATTAACGCCCATGTCCAAGAAACTTCAACCACTATCCACCACCCCTCCTCACTCAGAAGTTGCCTCAGGTCTGGCTAGCCCTCAAGAAGAAACGCAACGAATAGACGCCTTAGAACTAGAACGAGCTAGGTTCGAGTTCCAAATCAAAATGAAAGAACTCGAGTTGGAACAGACCAAGTTGGAGCAAAAGTTGGAGCATGAGGGAAGGTCGGAACAGGCCAAGTTGGAGCATGAGGAAATGATGGAACGGGCCAAGTTGGAGCAGGAGGTTAGACTGAAAGAACTACAGGTAAGAGAGATAGAAGTCACCTTAACATCGGAGTTCAGATCAAAAGAAGTGGCATTAAGAGAGAAACTAGCTGCTTTTAACCCTGCTACTGCTTCTTCCCTTGTTCCCGGGTTTGATGAATCCGATATGGACGGGTCATTTAGGACTTTTGAGAAAATAGCCGGGAAGAATGAGTGGCCAAAGGACCAGTGGGTGTCGGTGTTAGTTCCTAAATTATGTGGTAAGGCTCGTAGAGCTTATAACTGTTAAGACCAGACTGATGACTATGATAATGTAAAAAAGAATATCATCACTTCTTATGCTATCACGCCAGATGGATACCGGCAGAAGTTTCGTAAGCTAACCAAACCATTTTCACACACCTTTGTTGAGTTTGCTCAAGAAAAGCTTAGGTTTTAAGAAGTGGTTAGAGGCTACAGAGACCTCCATTTCAGGATTTGTTAAATTTGGTAGTCCTGGAGGTGGAAAACAGAATGCCATTTCATCTTGAAGCATGTGGAGGAGCGTGGAGAGGTTAATTTAGGGGCGTGCTGCTGAGCTGGCTGATGCGTACCCCGCTTTGTTGGTGGAGTCACTGGGCAGTAGAGAACGTGGTACTTCCCGACATCTGTTGAGTCCTCTCTGATGATAACCTTGGAACGTGAGTGGTAGTCGAGGTCCACACCTACTCCCCGATAAACCAGCTTACTTGTTCTTACTGTAAAGGCAGGCCATACGATCCAGAATTGCTTAGAAACACCCAAAGTGTCAATTGCTAAGTAGTTCCTGGATCCCAAGTCCAAATAATAGCAAATACCAATGTGAAGAGGCCCCATCAGGATCTCTTCTCTTCATTCACCTATGAGGGAAAAATTTCAATCATAGAGGGGTCTCGTTCTTCCCCTATTCGTATACTACGTGATACGGGCGCAGCACAATCTATCCTCCTGTTTAACGTCATTCCTGATATATCTACCGCATTTACTAATGAGAGTGTTCTAATTTCAGATCTCTCATCCCATTCTTCCTATCCCTTAGCTAAAGTGCACCTCCAATGTCCCTTGATTACTGGGGAAGTGCAAGTAGCCATTAGGAAAGATCCAATGCCTGTGAGCGGCATTCATTTATTATTGGGTAATGACTTGGTAGGAGATCTAGTGTTTCCCAACATAAAGACAGTCGACTCTCCCTTACCTGTCAACTCCACCACTGACCTTGAAGAAACTATTCCTCATCCTTTCCCATCTTGTGCTGTCACCCGGTCACAGAGTGTGCGAAATGGGCCCTCTTCATCTAATACCACCTCCAATATCTTCCTACCCACAGAAGATCTGTACAATAAGACCATTAGTAAGGATGAGCTCATTAAAGCCCAACAATCTGATCCATCTTTGAATAAACTTCATCATGCAGCAGTTGAGGGTAAAGATTTTAACACCCTTCCTTGTTTTTATTATCAGGAAGGGGTTTTGATAAGGGCCTATAGACCCCCTGAGCTTACCCATCTAGACACGTGGTCTGAAATACATCAAGTGGTAATTCCCTCCTCAGTTAGACCAGCATTAATTGCCCTTGCCCATGATGGTATTTCAGGACATTTGGGAATCCCGAAAACATATAAAAAGCTCCTCCAACACTATTACTGGCCTGGACTTAGGAAGGATGTGTCAAAGTACCTAAAATCTTGTCATATTTGTCAACTGGTAGGAAAACCAAATGAAAGTATACCAGCAGCTCCCATTAAGCCCATCTCAGTATTTTCTACACCATTTTAAAAGATTGTTGTGGATTGTGTGGGCCCATTACCAAAGACTAAGAAAGGAAATCAATTCCTGCTCACTGTTATGGATACCAGTACACGTTATCCTGAGGCTTTTCCCCTTAAAAGCATCACTTCAAAAAATGTAATCAAACCTCTTTTGCACCTTTTCACTTCAGTGGGCATTCCTAAAGAGATCCAATCCGATCAGGGGCATCAAATTTGACAAATAACCAAACAGGTGATGAAAGACCTCGGTGTGGACATTGTACATCTTCGACACACCCACAATCCCAAGGTTACTTTGGAACGGTTCCATCAAACTTTCAAATCAATGCTCAAAAAATACTGTATAGAACACCAAACGGAATGGGATAGAAAAGCATAGACATTACTCTTTGCCATCGGGAATGTCCCCAGGAGTCGTGGGTTTCTCCGGTTCAGAGTTATATATGGGAGACAAATAAGGGGAGACCCCTTAAAA